TATATATATAGATTAAAAGGCAAAATACTGAAAAACAACAATGCTGTTTGAAACAATGGCTGGGATACAAAAATGATAAGCAACAGCTAAAAAGTAGACGTAAGTAAACAGCCAGAAATAGAACCAGAGCTTTCGGACAACACTAGTCCTTCCTCAGTGGCGAGTGAGTGAGGGTAGAAAAAGCTAGATAGCATAAAGTGAGAATTTCATGCAAGCATGATTGGAAACAATAGGCTGGGTGAGATTAGAATAAACAGCCTAAACAAGTAAACAGGAAGGCCAAAACTAAACTTTAGAGGCAAGCCTCAATAGATAAGCCAAATGATTTATAAGGAATAAATTGAAATGCCATTGGTTTAATCATGGAGATAATACCTCCATGGTTTAATTTAGTGTACTGGGAGAACGTTCCTAATATTTAGTCCAAATGGTGTGGTTGTTTTAAGTAAAAGTTCCCAGTGATTCTCTTTATCTTTGCGATTTTTGTCGCTCCAAGTGGCATTATGGTCAATTGCAATCACTCTGAAATTTGAAATTGAATGACCAGCTAAATTGAAATGTTCGGCTACTGGTTGATCAAGCTTAGATATTCTGATATTCTGATAGCTGATCTATGTTGTGTCATTCTCATACGGAGAGTGTTTTTTGTTTCTCCGACATATTGTTTACCACAAATATTACAATACATGAGATAAATGACATTTTTGGTGAGGCAATTAATTGATTGCCTTATCCGAAATATGTGGTTTGTTTGGTTGCTCTTGAATGATTGTGTAGAATCAAGCAAGGAGCATGTTTTGCATGATGAACCACAAAGATGACTACCCAAATTACGGTTGTCGCAAGAGTTAGTTTGCCTCTTGAATTTAGATCGTACTAATATATCACAGAGGTTAGGTGGTCTGTAATAGGCTATGAACGGTGTATCCGGAAAAACAGACCTAAGACGTTCTGTGGTCTGTAGAATGGGCATATGTTTCTGAATTATAGCCCTTAGTGGTGGTGACCTAGGGTGATAGGTAGTGATCAGTGGCACTCTGGTCGATCGTTGACGTGGTTTGTACGTCAGTGTTTGAGCACGAGGTATGTCCTTTGCTTTTTTTTTATAGCATTTTCAATTGGTCCTCGATAATTTCTATACCGGAGATGTCCGGATAGTTCTTCTGTTCGATTCTGAAAATCTAAATCCGAAGAACAAATGCGTCTCATGCGCAATGCTTGGCTGTACGGAATATTTTTTGTACAGTACGGGGGGTGACAGCTGCTAGGGAGCAGGTACATATGCTTATCTGTGGGTTTACGGAAGAGATCAGTTTTAAGTGCACTATTTTCCATGGTCACGGTGATGTCCAAAAAATCTACACTGCTTGTGGATTTGTTAGCAGTGAACTTGATTGTGGGATGAGCCGAATTAATGTTCAATAGGAATGTATCCAAACTATCTTCACCATGGGTCCAGATCATGAAGATATCATCAATGTAACGAAACCAAACATTCTTGGGCTGTAGGGAATTGGCCTCAAATTGTCCCATCAATAAGTTAGCAAAAGATGGAGCCATTTTGGTGCCCATCACTGTGCCATGAATTTGAAGGTAATGACCGTCGCCGAAAACAAAGTTATTATTGGTCAGAATCAGCATGATAAGTTCACGGAGATGTGATTTAGATGGGGTTTTGCCCCGAATTTGCTTGTAATTTGAAATGCACGCATTAACACCTTCTTCATGAGGGATATTAGTATATAATGAGGAAACATCAAGTGTAGCCAGAACAGTATTATTAGGTAAATTTGAAATTTGGTTAATTTTGCGGATAAAGTCCGTGGAGTCCTGAATGTACGAGGGGAGAGCAACAACATATGGTCTCAATAAATCATAGATGGTCTCAATAAATCATCCACATATTCAGAGATTTTTTCTGTAGCAGTACCGTTGCCCGAAATAATGGGTCTGCCAGGATGGCCTGCTTTGTGGATTTTGGGTAGGACATAGAAACATCCTGGTGCCAGATCGACCTGGATGAGATGGGGTCCAATTTTGGGATCGATGGAACCTTTTTTAACCATCTTTAATACAGATTTTTCCACTTCCTTAGAAATTTCCGGAGTGGGGTCCTCTGTGAGCTTCCGATAGTGAAGGGGATTGTTTAGTTGTCTTAAGGACTCCTCTTCATAGAATTTAATGTCCATTACGACAGTGGCAGAGCCTTTATCAACTGGTTTGATGATAATATCATCACGCTGACGCAAATTGCCGATGGCCTGCCTCTCATTTTTTTGAGATTGTCGCGGAAATCTGGACTAGGAGTGTTGTTTTTAACGTCGTCCTCAATGGCCTGAATGAAAGTTTCTAAAGCTGGGCAACGATTCTTAGGGGGATTCCAGGTACTTTTAGGTTTGAATTTAGTAACATTGCCCATGTTATCCGTGGTGTTGCCGTCGGAATCCATGAAAAATTCACGGCATCTTAAACGTCGGAAGAAAGCTTCAAGATCCAAAGATAGTTGTTGTGGGTCAGCCTGCCTCGGTTTTGGGCAAAATTTGAGTCCTCAGGATAGAAGTTTGGTTTCTCCTTCGGAAAGCTGACAGTTAATTTGAACAACTGGAATCCGTGGTGTTGCACGGATTATCACTAAAGCGCCGAATGAACCTTCTAGGTTTACGTGAAAGCCAAACATTGTGCGAAGGTTGGATCACATGTGTTGAAGTGGTATTGTCTCGACCAAATTTGTGTTGTCTCCTCAGGGAAAGTTCCTTGGAAAGCTTAAGGCAATCCTTGGCAATAATCTTGAGTTTGTTTTGAAACTCAGATATAGGAAGGTCTCTTTTTAGCCTTTCACATCT